CATTAAGCCAGGTTTCTGTGCCAGCCTGGCGGTTTCCAGATTCGTGTGCTTGGCAGCCTCCGGTCAGGCCTTCAAGGCCTCCTGCGATACCTGTCCGTGGACTTGGGGGAGTCCCTGGGGGTCCACCGCATATTTGGTTGCAGGGCACGTGGGCAGCTGATATGCACGACCAGCGAGAAAGGCCACCATGGCCGCGGGAGGCACATTGACCTGTAGGTCTGTAACGCGGCTAGCAATAGCGCCCCCAACCAGTAGTCTGGGTCGGAGGAGTAACACAACATGGCCGGAAAACTGGCATTGCTGACCCCTGGCACATCTGCGACAGCAAAGAAGAGATCAGCGATGTACTGGGCAGTAGTCAAAAACCCGTACCCGACCAAAGAATCCGACAGCCTGGTTTTCACTCGAGGGGCAGGCCCCTTCCTGGGCGGCGTAAGGATTTTGGTATCCCCCAGCAGGTGGGTAAGATACTTAGCGACGCCGTCACACTCACGCGCGGGTTGAAAAGGGACGCAGTAAACCGCATTGGGCAGTGGTTCCAGAACAAATCCACGCGCACGCAAGCTGGCCACCGTGCCTGAGTAGGAGTTGGATGTGTAGAAGGGGGGACGTCCCCAGCCTTCAGACTTGAGCGCGCGGCACAAGACCTCGTGCTCCTCGCCCCAGGTAATTAACCTTCAGCGCCCACGCCTGATCAAGGGGTGGCGTTCCAAAAAGATCCAGCCCGACCCTGTGATCCGTAGGTAACACAATGCTCGCCACCCTTTGCTCCCGAAAGGCCTGTTTGTTCGACTCCTTCGCAATGCCGGGGCCATCCAGGCTCCATAAGCTGGCCTGTGTACGCAGGTACTCAGAGCACTCAATCAGCCCTCCGGTGGAACAGGCCGCCATCTGAAAGCACGCGCCAACGCCATCAGGATAGTACGGCGCCAGAAAGACCAGCGGTCCCAACCCGCGAGTGAAGGAGGAGGTGGCTCGGGCGAAACCTGCCTCGCTATTGAATAGGAAGCCGGAGGCCCGGTAGGTAACAAAAACGCAGACGCTAAAGGTGGGGCCAGTGGAGCAGGGCGTGGTGATGGCCATGAAGAAGCGTTTTAGGGCCCCTAGCTTGTTCGCGAGGAAAGTCCTAAAGACCCCAATGTTCCAAGAGTGTGGCAGTCCTGTCAAAGGGAAGTCCTCTGAAGTTTGACATGCTTCCATAAGGCTCATGTGATTTTCGCCTAGCTGGTCTTCTGGGACACTAGAACGCAACAGAAACTTCATTTGTACCACGATTTTGGCATACTGGGAGACCAGCCCAATGGGCGCCCCGGCGAAAACCTGGTGCCCGAAGGTGAGCACAATGTCGGCCAGCAACCAGCTTAGGTCGTAACTGTTGCCCAGTTTGCTTTGACTCTCATCCTGGTCAGGCACACGGACCCATCGACACGTCTCCATCCACCTGCCAGCAGGGCTGCGTAGCGGTCTCGCGAGCAGATGCTGCAAATTGGGTCCTGGCGGCATGCGCAAATAGGGAATCTGTCCCCTCAACTCGAAAAGGCAGGCTTCCGAGTATCGGCAGGCATACAAGACAGCAGAAATTTCCGGGGGGAGGCGCATGGACGAGCAAAGCGAAAGATTGATGGCCGGACCCACAATAGCCTTGAGTCCCGCGGCTTGCATGACTGTTTCGGCCTGTTTTGGCTTAACACAGCTTAGGCAGAGGATGGCTTCCAGCATGGAGTTGGCCGAAAACCCAGACTTCGTATAATCAGGGTGCAAATTGGGTTTGCCCCAGGAAGGCATATCTCCCTGCCCTTTTTTCCAAGGTCCGGCGCTGTTATGCGTTTGCCTTAGCAATGCTGCTGGTAGCGTGGCAGTCGTATACAGATCAGCCGGGACGGCATTGAGGCCGCACGCTTTTTGCTCCAAAAGCTCCGTCACATAGTGATAGTTCGGTCGGGATCCTCCCGCCGGCTGCCTGTGATCCCCAATCATGACATCAAGCGCATGTCGAACGTGAGCCAGAATGGTGTTGGAGCCAGGTGTGCCCAGTTGCTGTGCTTCATCCCTGAGCAGAAGCTCCACATCCTTCAACCTGTTAATGAGCACCGAGTATGGGAAGCTGAGCCGAGCAACTATAGTCCCATGTGTCGCTGCAACTAACAATCCCCGGGACGCATCATGTGCGTCAAAAGGAAGCTTGTAGGTATCCTTTTCCTTGCGGGCCGGGACGCGAATGACGCGACTGCGGACGAAATCGTGGCTTGCAGCGGTTAACCGATCAACGGCCTCGATGTAGGCTCGCACTGACTCGTTGCCATGCGCGGTGTAAAGGGTGAGTCTGTTGGTCAGGCAGGCAACAAGTACTCCCAGAAACGCACACGAGCGTGTTTTGCCGCTGCCAGGGGCACCAGTAATGAAGACAGAGGAGCGATTGGCACCCAAACCGTAAGAACAGGTTCCAATCAACGCCGCAAGATGACCGTCAGCCCCCCAAAAAGTGTCACAAAAACACGAAAGGAAGGACGGCCCCGCCGCAAGTGCAAAGACACTGGCACGGCTTCTTGGGGCGCGCTGGCCTGTCTTTGCTGAAGGCTAGAGTGAGGGTTTGACTGCTCCCATGCTTCCTCCCTGGGAAGCTTGGAGGGCCCTGCTGACTGCGACCCCAGTTCTACTTGGGACTGTGGTCAGACTGGGCACAGTTGTGCGCCTGGGTGTCGGGAACTTTTGCCGGGCTTCAATAATAGAACCGCAAGTTGTGTCGGCTGTTGCTCGGGGCTGCTCCACTGGCTGACCACCATGGGGCTGGTCTTGCATCCGTTGTTCTTGCTAACAAGTCCCCATTGGCTGACCACCATGGGGCGCGTGCTGGCCTTGTCTTTCCTCTGGGAAAGTTGGCCAATTTGTGCCTTCCCTTTTCGCTACTGTGTGCCTGGTACCTGACCGTGTCGGCCGGTAACTCTGCTGTCCTTCTTCGATTTACAGCTTTCCGTGCTGACCTTCGTTGCACCAGTGGCTTCATGATGGTGATTTTGTTGATCTGGCAAACCGTCGCATTTTGCGACCCTCCCGCATGCTCTGCGCTGCTCGATTACACCTGGATTTCTGCGACGACCTCGAGTACTGAGCGCGGGGGGCTTTTAGATGTTTGGCGCTTTTGTTTTGGTGGTTGTGGTTTGTTGTGGTTTTGGTGTGTGTTTGCTTTGGTTTTCGCACCTGCTCTGTTTCACCTCTAGTGTTGAGACCCACAAGAACGGCCTACTGCGCTGCTGATGTAGTAAAGAGGCGTCGGTTCAAAAAAAAACTAGAAGAGGGATGGCCCGAAAGCATCGATTTGCCGTGCGTTGACTCCATGCACTTGACTCTTTGTAATCGAACTGTATGCACTTGGAGAAATGTATGCCCTTACATGGTTGCATAGTCACTTGTACACTGCACTTGTATGCACTGGAACTGCATGGCATTCAAGTGTGTGGAGTTGAATGCCATGCACTTGTGGTCAACTCTGTAGACTTTTCATCGGCGTTGAAGACAACGCCGAGCTCCAGCGGCCGGTCGCGGCACGCACCTGCGCCGGTGCAAGGAAAGAAGCAAAAACCAGACAAGCGCAAAAACAGACAAAAGAGGTGGAGTCTAAGTAAGGGCCGTGCATGTTGGTCGCCATGGAATACCTGCGCGCAGAAAACAGCTTGACTTGCAAGTCGGTCGACAAAGGTGCCAATCGTCCCGGGCGGTCCTAGCTGCATTTTCACACCCGCGTGCGTCGCAGTGTCCATACTAAACATAGCCCGGACGGCGTCCATGCGGTTCTGCAGCCGCGCTTTCGGGCCCTGCCTCCGCTGTGACGTCAAAACTCGCCCTGCCCCGCGGGCTGCGTCCCCACACTTTCGCAAATCCACAATACAATGCAACTTGCGCAATAGTGCGCCTGATGAAGCTGGCAATCGAAACAAAGAGGAGCTTGTTCACGCTCTGTTGCAGTGCATTTCAGAGCAGGAGGCGTCATGGGAAAGCTTCCCATAACGCCTCCTGCTCGGAAATGCACTGCAACAGAGCGTGAAGAAGCTCCTCTTTGTTTCGCTTGCCAGCTTCACAGCGCTGCTGCACGCCCGCAGCCCCAGCAAGCTCACGCAAATGCAGGGCAGTCTGCTTCGCGAGCTCCCCGCGCAGCCAAGCCACGCCGTCAGCAGCAAAACCTTCTCGCAGGCCCTGCAGCTCTTGCTGCAGCGCAGGGCCAGCTTCATCCTGTTCGAAGGTCGACAAGAAAAGCCGGAAACTGCCCTAGTCAAGAGACACTGCGCACGCACCGCTTGAAGCAAGCTCCAAGCAACGAAAATCATGCCCCCTGACCTGCCTAGGAATGCAAACGATATGACACACCCTTGCAGAACAAGGAAACCAAGAATGCACAGGACAAAAGAGAGGCTTTCCCCACAACGCCTCCTGCTCGGAAATGCGCTGCGACAGAGCGTGCACAAGCTCCTCTTTGTTTCGCACGCGCCCGTCAGAGCGCCGCGGTATGCCTGCAGCGCCACCAAGCTCGCGCAGCAGCGTGACCGTCTTTTTCGCAAGCTCCTGGCGCAGCCAACCTGCACCTTTAGCACGGAAACCATGCCGCAGCTTCTGCATAGCATCCCCGCCGGTGTACGACATACCTGGACCTACAAAAAAAAGCGCACCGTCCAAGCTGGCACCAAGGTTTCATTCAACAGTGCCTCTCGGCCAAAGCTAGCACGCATGCATGTAGAGCAACGCATCATGAGGTGGTCAACACAGCCAAATGTCAAAGAGTGCATTCAGTTCTGCGTGCGCACGCGGCACTGTCCATACAAAACAGAGGCCGCCGCGCCGTCGAACTTTCGCAAGACGGCGTCCGTCCTCTGGCAGGCGGCGAAGACTTGTGTTCAGCTGTCAAAAAAGGAAACTGGATGCAGAGACAGAAACTGCAGCACTCGTCTCATAAGAAAGACATTCATCACAGTAAATGTCCCTAGCACTTCACTTTCTAGGGCGTTTCCTCAAGAGACTGGTGGCCGGGGGCTTCTGCTCTTGAAGTCCACCAACAGCTTTACCGGCTTGGTCCAGCCGAGCAGGGACTTCCGTATGTGCCCCATTGGCACAGGCCGCTTGAAGGCACGAACGTGCTGCACGTACCAACCGAACAGCGTCTGGGGCTCTGACGTCCCCCAATCATAGAAGCTACCCTGCTCAATCAGGGTATCCGATCGATGAGCATCGAAGTGGTCGTAATTTTCAAACTCGATGCTGCCCGCAAAAACGATGACGCCGAGCACTTGCGCCTTCAACGGAGCGGGGGCCATCGCGATGTCCACCATGGCACCCTGCGTGGAGCCGCTGCCCAGAGTCTCGATGAGGAACAGCTGCTCGCCCGCAGAGAAGCAGCGGTACTTCCCCAGAGCGTACTTCCTGACTTCCATCGTCTTGCGACCTGCCATGAGGAGCCGACTCCACGGATACTGCACGTTCAGCCCGCAAAGACACAGTGTCTCGCTCGAACTCACCACGCCAGCTGGAGCCTTCAGCGCGGCAGCTCGCGCAGCAGCCTCACCCACTGTGGTAGAGTCACGAATGAAGTTCAAGTCTGCCATCGCTTTCTTCTTGGACTCGCGCAGCGGGCCGATGATATTCTGGACATCATCGCACAGGACAACATTCGAAAAGTGCGCCCGCCAGCCTCCTCCATGCTTCTGAATGCTACCACGATGGCCCAAGGGCCGCGACTTCGTGCCGCGCCACGACATGTTGAACCGTGAAGAAGCTGCAAGTATAAGTGCAGAGACGCATCATGAGGTGGTTAACACAGCAAAACGTCCAAGCGTGAATTCAGTTCTACGCATGCGGCACACGCAGACAGCGCAGGATGCCTTCTCGTGTTTCTTGATGTCGTAACAGCACCTACACGCTGCAACAGCACAAACAACAGACATACAGCACACGAACACGAGCACATAGACACAGTGCGGGATGCCTTCTCCCCTTCATTGACGTCTTCGCGCGCCATGACATCCAGATGGGACATCGCCCAAACATGTGACATTTGACAGCAACCGCTGATCACTTCCCACAGAGAGACGGGTCTGAGCGCAGGACTGGCTGCCTTCCCTCCAAAACGAGATCACTTTTTTCCCGGTCCGCTGCATGGCATTCACATTCGAGTCCCACGATATTTCCCAGGTTTTCGACCCGGAATTTGAGTCCCACGATCAGGCTTTCGACGCCCCGGAATGCGAGTCCCACGATGTTTGCGAGAGGTTTTTGATGCCCCGGAATTCGAGTCCCACGATATTTGGGAGGGTTTCGACATCCCGGAATTCGAGTCCCACGATATTTGCGAGGTTTTCGAGGAATTCGAGCCCGGAACTCGAGTCCCACGATATTTGCGAGGTTGTCGACGAGAAAAGACAAAAACATCCCCGTGTCTTCACGCGCGCGGAACTCCGTTACCATGCTATTTGCGCCCAGATGTCCGTTACCATGCTATTTGCGGTGTTTTTCAAGTGCCCAGATGTCCGTTACCATGCTATTTGCGGTGTTTTCAAGCGCCCAGATGTCCGTTACCGTGCTACTTGCGGTGTTTTCGAGCGCCCAGACGTCCGTCACCGTGCTATTTGCGGTGTTTTCAAGCGCCCAGATGTCTGTTACCATGCTATTTGCGGTGTTTTCAAGCACCCAGATGTCCGTTACCATGCTATTTGCGGTGTTTTTCAAGCGCCCAGATGTCCGTTACCATGATATGTGCGGTGTTTTCATGCGCCCAGATGTCCGTTACCATGCTATTTGCGGTGTTTTCATGCGCCCAGATGTCCGCTACCATGCTATTTGCGGTGTTTTTCGGGCGCCCAGATGTCCGTTACCATGCTATGTGCGGTGTCTTCAGACGCCCAGGGCGTCCGCGGCGTACTACGTCTGTACTACAAAAAGTCGACTTTCCAGCCACGGAAGCTCCGCGTGTCCGCGGCGTACTACGTTTGTACTAGAAAAGTCGACTTTCCAGCCACGGAAGCTCCGGATGTCCCCGGCGTACTACGTTTGTACTACAAAAGTCGATTTTCCAGCCACGGAAGCTCTGCGTGTCCGCGGCGTACTACGTTTGTACTACAAAAGTCGACTTTCCAGCCACGGAAGCTCCGGGTGTCCCCGGCGTACTGCACGTCTGTACTACAAAAAGTCGACTTTCCAGCCACGGAAGCTCCGCGTGTCCGCGGCGTACTGCGTTTGTACTACAAAAAGTCGACTTTCCAGCCACGGAAGCTCCGGGTGTCCCCGGCGCACTATACGTCTGTACTACAAAAGTCGACTTTCCAGCCACGGAAGCTCCGCGTGTCCGCGGCGTACTACGTTTGTACTACAAAAAGTCGACTTTCCAGCCACGGAAGCTCCGCGTGTCCGCGGCGTACTACGTTTGTACTACAAAAGTCGACTTTCCAGCACGGAAGCTCCGGGTGTCCCCGGCGTACTATACGTCTGTACTACAAAAGTCGACTTTCCAGCCACGGAAGCTCCGCGTGTCCGCGGCGTACTACGTTTGTACTACCAAAGTCGACTTTCCAGCCACGGAAGCTCCGCGTGTCCGCGGCGTACTACGTTTGTACTACAAAAGTCGATTTTCCAGCCACGGAAGTCCCCGGCGTACTACGTCTGTACTACACAAGTCGACAAAAAAAACGCAAAACACTACGGTTTTCGCACCGCGACCACGCGAAAACCTGCAGAGGGGTTACGTTTGCATGTCAAGAAACGCAAAAACACGACGGTTTTGGCACCGCGCCAACGCCGAAACCCGCAGAGGGGTTACTTTTGTATGTCACAAAACGCAAAAGCACGACGGTTTTGGCACCGCGCCAACGCCGAAACCCGTTGAGGGTTGTCTGCGGCCACGGAAAAAAGTACCAAAAACGACGGTTTTCGCACCGCGACCCGGCGATTACCCGCAGAGGGTTGTCCGCGGACCTAAAGAAACGTAAAAAAACGACGGTTTTAGCACCGCGACCACACGGAAACCCGCAGAGGGTTGTCCGCGCAAATCAAGAAACGTAAAAACACGACGGTTTTAGCACCGCGACCACGCCGAAACCCGCAGAGGGTTGCAATCCCGATTGGCGATGTCAACCCAGCCCGCCGCCTTAGAAAGATTAATTTTAATTTAGAAATCTAGGACTGGGTACGAAGGTCTACTAAATTCTACGTAAATCTCGTAATTTCTATTAACTTCTACTTCACTCTATGCAATTCAGTCTATGCACTTCACTCTATGCACTTCACTCTATGCAATTCACACTATGCAATTCACTCTATGAACTTCACTCTATGCACTTCACTCTATGCACTTACCTCTATGCACTTCACTCTATGCACTTCACTCTATGCACTTCACTCTATGCACTTCACTCTATGTTGTTGGGTCAGAGGGCTCCGCACGGAAGAACCCTTCGCGATGCTTTCGGGAAAAATTCTGCCAGAGCACGAGTGACACAATTATCTTGTGTGCCAATTCGCAAAGCTTGGGGAACGGAAGCGGAGAATTTTGCTGGGACATGTGGGAAACACGACACAGGATCCTGACGGGACCTTATACAGTCGGTCGCAGCCGTGGGCCCAGCAGGGATTGTGGTGGAACCACGCTTTCGAGTGGGAGCCGAGACATCTGACAGGCACGACAGGCGAATAGCAGCTGGATGGCCCCTGGCAATGATAGAACAATTGGGTCATCCGCCCCCCAAGATAGCTTCTGCAAGAATGAAAACATCGAGGCAAAATGAGCTGTGAAGAGCGATGGAATCGGTAGCCTCTTGGCTATTCTCGGTAGCCCCACTGGCTGATCACCATGGGGTAGAAGGATTCAGTGGGAGAACACCTGTCGAATTAGAACTTCGAGCAGATCCCTCACTGATTGGTCACGGTGCGTGCTTCTACGTTGCACTGTGCTGGTTTCCTGCCTTGATCGACACTGCCTGGCGAGCTGGGTTGGAATGTCGTCTTGAAAATGACTCTTAAAGAAGCTACCTTGGCACTTTTTGGCTGTGCGCATCATTGGCTGATCACCATGGTCAGTCGGTTGTGGCTACTTACGGAAAACCCCACTGGCTGATCACCATGGGGCACTTTTGGCCGGCCTCCCTGTGGGAGGGGTAGGCCCCGATGGTGTATTGCATCATGCTTCGGTTGCCACAACAGTCAAACTTCGGCCGTTACGCACCCCCTCTGCGCCCTCCGAAACTCGTGGAGTCCGGGGCGTCCCGTTTCTATCTAGTTTGAAACGTGGACGCCCCGGACTTCACGTCCCGGACTCCACTCTTTGCACTCTAGAATCTAGAACCCATGGATCGCTGGAATTCATTTTTTTTAAAAAAGCGGGCGCCTCTTTACTACATCAGTAGCACAGTAGGCCGTTCTTGTGGGTCTCTCAACGAGGTGTGAGACAGATCGCCAGTTAAAAGCAACACAACCGAGAACGAAGAAACCACCCAACCAAGCAAGGCAGCCAAAGAACAACCAACCGACAAACCAGAAGAAGGCGGCGAAACTACAAAGAAAAAACCCCATGCGCTCGTACCCAAGCTCGTCGATGTGTCCCTGAGCAGATCCATGGCAGCACCAAGTCGTGTGGGGAAACCGCAAAATGCGATTGTGTGCCAGAGAACAAAACCACCATCACGCAATCATCTGCACAAATTGGCAACCTTCATAGTCACGGATAGTCACATGTTCGCAGCTACCATTGCCGGCATTCCAAGAACTGGCGGTGTGAGCCTGCGCGGACGGTTGCAACGGCCGAAGTTTGACTGTTGTGGCAACCGAAGCATGATGCTGCAATACACCATCGGAGGGCAGGCCAAAGGTGCCCCATGGTGATCAGTCAGTGGGGTCTTCCGTAAGTAGCCACAACCGAATGCCCATGGTGATCAGCCAGTGATGCGCACAGCCAAACAGTGCCAAAGTAGCTCCTTTAAGAGTCATTTGCAAGACGACATTCCAAAGCCAGCTCGCCAGCAGTGGATCGCTGGAATGGAATTCAAAGTTGCAGCTCTGACCAAACAGCTCGCGCCAAAAAGCTCCAAGGCTTGGCAAGTTTTTAGGTCACAAAGACGAGCTGACGAGCTCCACGCACCCCTCTGGCGCCCTCCGAAGCTCGTGGAGTCCGGGGTGTTCCGTTTGCAACATTAGTTTGAAACGTGGACGCCCGGACGTCCGGACGACTCCAGGCGTGGCAAGATTTTTGATAAAGACGAGCTCCACGCACCTCCTCTGCGCCCTTCGAAGCTCGTGGTCCGGGGCGTCCCGTTTCAATATCTCGGGACTCCACGCCCCGGACTCCACTCTTTGCATCCTAGACCATGGATCGTTAGGATTCAAAGTTGCAGCTCTGACCAGACAGCTACATAACGTTAGTTTGAAGCGGGAGGCCCCTGACTCCACGGTCCGGACTTCTCTGCATTCTAGAACCCATGGGTGGCTAGGGTTGAAAGTTGCAGCTCTGACCAAATAGCTCCGCCAAAACTAGCTTGCTAGGATTCAAAGTTGCAGCTCTGACCAAATAGCTCGCGCGAAAACTGCTCCAAGGCCTGGCAAGATTTTTGATCACAAAGACTAGCTCCACGCGCTCCCTCTGCGCCCTTCGAAGCTCGTGGAGTCCGGGGCGTCCCGTTTCTATATGGCATTAGTTTGAAACGGGACGCCCCGGACTCCATGCCCGGGCCACTTTGCATCCTAGAACTCATAGATCGAGAGGATTCAAAGTTGC